CTCACTTAGGTAGTGAGTGTATTTCTTTCTCTTTGTTCTATCATTTTTTTGGTTTGACGTTTCCTAAATGTGTTCTTCGGGTGCATATGTAATTACGTTGCATCGTGCACTTAGAGAACCATTGGGAAATGTTGCCGAAATTTTGATAGGTCAAAGAAAATGAAATACATTTACTAGTGAGTGTCATTTCAAGAATGTGTTAGGATGGTGTAAAGAAGGACCATTTGTATAATGAAGAGGTACTGCCGGATAATGAAGAAGTGTTGCCGGACCATCATAAAAAATTAAATATTGTGTTGTCTGCATTGCTTATATGTTTGCGTGTATATATAAAATGAGTGTTAATAATTTTGTTGTGCATTGTTTTGCATGTATCAATCATTTGCTCTTCTTTCTTGCTTAGCAATTCATATGATGGATAAAAGTTGGATTCATATGTCGTGTACATCACCTGAGTTTAGTTCTGGTTAAGAAGAGTTTATTCATTTCGCAGAAAACATTTAAAAGAAGGAAAAAAACTACAGTATATTATCCTTGTAACTCATGTAACACCCATTTTATGGTTGATAGCGTTAAAGCTATATTTCTTTGCCCGATTCTAACAAATACGGAGTAATAATAACTAAAAATGGTATGGACGTACAACAACAACATCATCAACAACAACAAAAACAAACAAAAGGACACTAAATTGAAACACCATGCCATTTGATAATGAATAGCCCACCATTGTTGTTATTGAAGATCCACTTTTTAACAACCTTTTCATGCATACAAATATCTCTCACATTCACATCGGAAAACTAAATCTCTTTATGGCATGCCTCTCTCCACTCCAACTTGGGTACAAATTTATGAAATGCAGGTGATGCCGTTTTCTCCAAAAAAACCACTTTCTATTAAAAAAACCACTTTTATCTCTACTTTTTCATACCCTACCTATCACATCATAATTTTTCACTAATAACCAAACTATCACATCTTACTTTTTCCCATCACATCAGGAGCAACATTAGAAAGTCACCAAAATTACACTTTCTCTATTTTTCTCTAAAGTCAAAACCAGAAGGATTTGTGGAACGGAGGAAGTACAAATCTAACATCAGATGTGAAATAATAGATATTTTACATTGCAAAACTACTTTTTAGAGCACAAGACATGAAAAGTCTTATAAAATAATAAAAGGATAGACTTTGAATAACACTCTCTAACATAGCATGAGAAATAAGTTATTTCTTTGCCCGATGCTAATAAATAATAACAACTAAAAACAGTATTGACATCCAAAAACAACAACAACAAATACCAACAAAAGGGCACTAAACTGAAGCACCGCGCCATTTGATAGTGAATAGACCACCATTGTTGTTATTGAAGATCCACCTTTTAACAACCTCTTCATGCATACAAACATCTGCCACATGCTCATCCGAAAACCAAATCTCTTTATGACATTCCTCCCTCCACTCCAACTTGGGAACAAATTTACGAAATGCGGGCGATGCCGTTTTCTCCAACTCGGATATATCATACGGAGCGTATCTCTTGGGGAAATTACGGGAGCGCACGGGCACAATCAAGTTCAAGTGCGTAAGGGTGTCAAGTAATGTTTCGATCCGCTCTTGTTTGCGGAAACAAGAGCCCCACCATAGATTATCGGAGAAGTCCAATGTCAATTCTTTCAATCGGCGCGCAATGGAGTCATGAAGGACTTGATGAAGGAGGTCAAATTTCAGATCGGGAGAACTTTCTTCATCTAATACATGAGTTGCATAGCTTGGTCCCAAGAAAACTTGGGTCAGGCAAGGCACATCGACCAAAGATGTGTGACAGAATCGTCCATTGCCGCCGAATTTAAAATACACCAAATTGGGGGCCGATACCACTGTGACTAGTACATCCCCCACAGCTCTCGCCAAGGCATGAATCTCCAAACGCTTCAAGGCCTCGTGGTGCAAAATGCGAAAACCAGTTAATTTTTGGAATCTTGAAACGCTTAGCTCTTGGAGTAAGGGGCAGCCGGCCAAGAGTCCCTCTAGCATTTCTCCCGAAACACTTATGAATCTCAAGCGAAGGACCTTCAAACACCGTCACCCTTCTGGCTGATACGAATATCGTATCGGATAGGGAAGAACTTCGAGCGTCTTCGGGCTCCAAGAAAAGGGAGACAAAGAGAGATGGAAAACTTCGAGCGTTTCCGGGCTCCAAGAAAAGAGAGGCGAGAGATTAAGAAAATTCTTGATTATTGATTGTTTGAATGATAATGATACGGGATTACAATATATAGAGATGAGGGGGTGGGGGAACACCCTAATTAACCTAATGGGCTCGGGCCCATACTAAGGTAACTAAACCCTAAACTAGATTAAATATAAAATATTAATAAAGACTACTAATTAATAAATAATATAACTAATCTATTATCATATCATTCTCGCCCCCTTAAAAACCANTACGAATATCGTATCGGATAGGGAAGAACTTCGAGCGTCTTCGGGCTCCAAGAAAAGGGAGACAAAGAGAGATGGAAAACTTCGAGCGTTTCCGGGCTCCAAGAAAAGAGAGGCGAGAGATTAAGAAAATTCTTGATTATTGATTGTTTGAATGATAATGATACGGGATTACAATATATAGAGATGAGGGGGTGGGGGAACACCCTAATTAACCTAATGGGCTCGGGCCCATACTAAGGTAACTAAACCCTAAACTAGATTAAATATAAAATATTAATAAAGACTACTAATTAATAAATAATATAACTAATCTATTATCATATCATTCTCGCCCCCTTAAAAACCACCTTGTCCTCAAGGTGGAGGTTCCCACTCAAGCTTTTGGACATATGAGAATGTGCTGAACCAGAAAAGATGTCCAATTGTAGACCAATCTTCAAGAAGCTTCTCAAATGAAGTATACCAGTATAAATAAGAGAGAAGACCAAACTTGCATTGAACTATTTTCTTTGAATCCAAGTGCTCATACTTGACAACATCGGCAAGCTCAAATAATCTAATGGTGTCAATCAAAATAGGTGAGCATGCTTTCTTACCATCTGCATCTACTCCTTTGTCAATACTTTTTGGAACATCATACATTGGAATGACCACTCCAATTGAGGTATAAAAATCATGAAAAGTAGAATCGGGCTTGTCGACTTTAGCAACATCTTCTACAAGAGGACCTTCATTTTTTCCCACAATGTTGGACCTCCCGTCATCTTTGTTTATTCCTTCAGGCCCGGTGTCCACTTCATCTCCAACCTGTGAGTCAAAGCTTGATTCCTCTCTGGATGCTTGATCATGTGCTTCAATGTGTTGCTCAAGTACGGTAGAGACCGGATTTGACACAGAAGGCGGAGTATTGATGAGAATTTTAATAGCGCCCAACATGTTTGTTCTAAAGTTTTGTAACTCCAAAGGAATCAAACTCGGCAAAATTGGAGGCCCTCGGACCAAATCCTGTACTGAGCAAAAAATTTCTACCTCAAACGCATCATAATCAATTTGCCCATTAAAATTATGGATCAACCTGAGCTTCATACTCGTCTCATACACATGATCAAAAATCATACACACTCCTTCATCATGCTCAATTTCTCCATAAAGAACCTTCTCTAATAAGTCTAGGAGTTTGTCCAATGCATAGTTCATTGTCACTATAATCTCGTCCAAAACCAACGCCATAGTTATGAAAAATACACAGATTTGCTACCTGGGTGGCGGACAGATCGGAGCCGGAACAGGGTTTGCGGTTGGGTTGCTAATCCTCCGTACCAAATGACAACAATAATTGACCAGATTTGTCGTTCGCAATGCTGGGGCAGCCGGGCAGCAAAATATACGATCCGGGAAATCAGCTATTAATGGCAATTGAAATCAACATTTGGGTGGGCGGCCTTAACCTCAGCTTGATTCCAAATTGACACTGATTTGTCTGCGATATTTGATGCGGCACTTCCAATTCTTCTTCTGCTAGAGAATTCCTTCAACGGCGATGGATCAGCCGTGGGAAAACACTCAAAGTGATTGACGCTGGATTTTTTTTTTGTGGCGGCGAAGCAAGTGGGGATTTTTTTTTTGTTTTTTTTTTTTGGATTTTTTTTAGTGTTCTCTCAACGAGAGCACCAATGATACGAATATCGTATCGTATAGGGAAGAACTTCGAGCGTCTTCGGGCTTCAAGAAAAGGGAGACAAAGAGAGATGGAAAACTTCGAGCGTTTCCGGGCTCCAAGAAAAGAGAGGCGAGAGATTAAGAAAATTCTTGATTATTGATTGTTTGAATGATAATGATACGGGATTACAATATATAGAGATGAGGGGGTGGGGGAACACCCTAATTAACCTAATGGGCTCGGGCCCATACTAAGGTAACTAAACCCTAAACTAGATTAAATATAAAATATTAATAAAGACTACTAATTAATAAATAATATAACTAATCTATTATCATATCACCGGCCATGAAAAATTGTAACTCCACNAAGAACTTCGAGCGTCTTCGGGCTTCAAGAAAAGGGAGACAAAGAGAGATGGAAAACTTCGAGCGTTTCCGGGCTCCAAGAAAAGAGAGGCGAGAGATTAAGAAAATTCTTGATTATTGATTGTTTGAATGATAATGATACGGGATTACAATATATAGAGATGAGGGGGTGGGGGAACACCCTAATTAACCTAATGGGCTCGGGCCCATACTAAGGTAACTAAACCCTAAACTAGATTAAATATAAAATATTAATAAAGACTACTAATTAATAAATAATATAACTAATCTATTATCATATCACCGGCCATGAAAAATTGTAACTCCACATTGGGGAGAATATTGTAAAGGATAATGTTTAACTATTATTATTCTTGAAGTAGTCTTCTCCTCTTGGGTTTCTATCTATACGCATAGCACTGTAACAACCCTTGTAAATGGCCTTAGGAATAGCTCTTGCTAACCATTCTGTTCCAGTACTCATATGTATATATACTCTGCATGTAAACGTATGATCAATTGAATCATTATTCATCAATATCTTATATGGTATCAGAGCTTTAAAAAGGAATCTCTCCTTTTTTTCTCGATCTCTTCTTTACGTTTGTTTTCTGCACTCTGTGTGTTCGCCGGTCATCATGACCTCTGGCAGCACCTCCTCCGCCATCACTAAGGACACCACGGTGATCCAACTTCACGCCAAAACCCATTTTCCGATCAAATTGGTGACAACCAACTTCTCGATATGGCAGCGCCAGGTACGTTCCACCCTCATCGGTCTGGATCTACTGGGCTATATCGATGGCACCATGCCGACGCCGCCTACAATCATTGACGGTGCCGCAAATCCATGCCACTCTATTTGGTTCCGCCAAGACCAGTCAATTGTGGGTGCCCTCCTTGGGAGTTGTTCCGATCTGGTTCAACCCATCATCTCAAATGTTGATACGGCTCGTGCTGCCTGGACGAGTTTACATTCTGCGTTTGCTAGCGCAAGCCGTGGTCGAGTTCTCTCCCTCAAATCTCACCTCGGGAAAAATCCTCGTGGTAATCGCTCAATTGAGGACTATTTATTTGATATGCGGTCCATTGCCAACGAGTTAGCGCTTATTCAAAATCCTATCTCTGAGCAAGATCTGGTGGTTCATGTTCTCAATCAAGTTGGGGATGAATATGATGCCATCGCATCTGCTGCTTTGCTCCGCCCTACGTCGATCGCCTTTACTGAACTTGGGGACATTCTAAAAGATCATGAGCGTAAACTCAAAACCTCTGATGATGCCAAATCCACTTTGGTGGCTACGGCTAACTACACTCAGCACCGAACCTCTGGTCGCTCCTCGCCAGTGCGTCGTGATGCCCCCTCTGCCAGTAGCTCTCATTATCGTCGTGGGCGTCAGGCTGGCGGCGGTGGGGCTCGGTTCACTAGACAGCAGTCTACCAACTGCCACTTTTGTGATATTCCTGGCCATGACGTGAAGGAGTGCCGTAAACTCACTCGGTTTTTGCGCAATCATGGCGTCTCTTCGTCTCCATCTGCACATAATACTATGGTGTCATCCACTGCTGGGCAGCAATGGTTATTTGACAGCGGTGCTAGTCATCATACCACGCCTACTACTCAATCGCTTCAATCATTCTCTGACTATGGTGGCCCCGACGAAATTCGCTTGGGTAATGGTAATGGACTCAAAATTACTCATACTGGTCATACCTCTCTTTCCACTCCATCTAGGTCTCTTTCCTTATCTAATGTGTTGTGTGTTCCTTCCCTTAACCGTAATCTTGTTTCTGTCTCTCAACTTTGTCAGTCTAACCAAGTTTCTGTTGAATTTTTTCCCTCTTCATTTCTTGTAAAGGATCTGAAAACGGGGGCGAAGCTCCTCACCGGGGATAATCAACATGGTGTCTACTATGCTCGATCCTTAAAGCCCGGGCCGCAGGTGCACTTTCATACTCAAGGGTCTGTCTCCGAGTTTCATCACCGCCTTGGTCATCCGTCGAATAAAGTTTTAATTTCTATGCTCCGGTGTTGTAATAAATCCTTGTCTCAAGAGGATATTCACAAATTTCATTGTACTTCTTGTTCCCTTTCCAAAAGCCATAAACTCCCATTTTATGCCAATTCATTTACTAGTGCACGACCTCTTGAGTTATTGTATTCGGTTGTCTGGTCCTGCAAAGAAAAAACTATTGATGGCTATTTATACTATGTTATCTTTGTGGACCACTTCACCAAATATGTTTGGCTCTATCCTCTCACGCGCAAATCTGATGTTTTTAAAATTTTTCCTCATTTTAAAAATATTGTGGAAAATTTTTTCAAACAGAAGATTGTGTCAATTTTTTCTGATAATGGTGGTGAATTTATCAAACTAAGACCCATGCTCAACTCGTTTGGTATCTCACATTTCACCACACCACCTCATACACCTGAGCATAATGGTACGTCTGAGCGACGCCATCGTCACATTGTTGAAACTGGTCTCTCTTTATTACATCATGCTCACATGCCTCTCCAGTATTGGTCATATGCTTTCCAAACCGCAGTTTATCTTATCAATCGCATGCCTACCTCCACTCTCAAATCTCGGTGTCCTTATCGTATGTTATTTGGGGCCGATCCGAACTACCTTAAACTCCAACCGTTTGGGTGTTTATGCTACCCATGGCTTCGACCCTACACTCACCACAAACTTCAATCCCGCTCTCTTCCATGTGTCTTTGTCGGTTACTCCACTCATCAATCGGCCTACAAGTGTCTTGACCTCTCTACCAATCGTCTCTATCTCTCCCGGCATGTCCAGTTTGTACCCCACATCTACCCTCACTCAACCATTTCTTCCCCATCTTCTTCCTCCCCGAACCATTTCCCACATCCTATTTCCCCTCCCCCTTTTGCTAAAATTGTTACGCCACATCCCTCCCATGCCATGCCGCTGTCATCATCTTCCTCGCCTGCCTTACCTGCGTCTCTGTCCTCTCTATCCAGTGGTCACTCTGCAGCCAGCGTTCCTGTGGGTGTTCCATCGTCTAGCCTTGCCCCTCTCCCAGCCCGTCCTGTTTCTCGTCCCACCCGCCAACGTCGCCCAAACAGCAAATATTTCAATTCTGACTTTGTGTCTGTTCCTCCATGCATCAACACCACAACCAAACATCCTCTCCTTCCTACTCTTGAACCCAAAACCATTACTCAAGCTCTCAAGGATACTCGTTGGCGCCAAGCGATGGATGATGAGTATCAGGCCTTGCTCCGCAATAAGACGTGGGAACTCGTACCGCGTCCGGCTCAGCGTCCAGTAGGGTGCAAATGGATTTTTCGGGTCAAAAGGAAGGCGGATGGTTCTATTGACCGCTATAAGGCTCGGCTTGTGGCTAAAGGCTACCTTCAAGAGGCGGGACATGATTATTTTGAGACCTTTAGTCCGGTGATGAAGCCGGTCACCATTCGCCTTGTTCTTAGCATTGCCCTCGCTCACAATTGGCCTCTCCGGCAACTTGATGTGAATAACGCTTTTTTGCATGGCAGGTTGAAAGAACAGGTGTTCATGGATCAGCCCCCTGGCTACGTGCATCCTGAGTTTCCCACACATGTGTGTCGACTGTCTAAGGCTTTGTACGGCCTTAAACAGGCTCCCCGGGCTTGGTATGACGCACTCTCTCATTTTTTATTGACTTCGGGGTTTGTGAAGACTCGGTCCGATTCCTCACTTTTTGTTTATCATGCGGGCGGTGTGACAGCATATTTTTTGGTATATGTGGATGATATTATTCTTACCGGCAGTTCTTCTATCTTCTTGGATCGGTTTGTTCAAGCTCTCGCTTCCGAATTCTCCCTAAAGGATCTTGGTCCTTTGAGTCACTTCTTGGGCGTTGAGGTTATATCCACTAAAGCTGGCCTCTTCTTATCTCAGTCGCAATACATCTTGGATATTCTGGACGATGCCTCTATGACTGGTGCTAAAGAAGTCGCTACTCCAATGGCGGCAGATTCTTGTTTTGCTCCTGCGGCAACGTCTACAGCTGTTGATCCCACTGCCTATCGACGTACCATTGGGCGACTGCAATATCTGTCCTTGACACGTCCGGATGTCTCGTTTGCTGTGAACAAATTGGCCCAGGTCATGCATTCCCCTACGGATCACCACTGGTTGGCACTAAAGCGGCTTCTTCGCTATCTTAAAGGTACCGTGTGTCACGGATTGTTTCTGTCTCGCAAGGTTCCTCTGTCTCTCACAGCTTTTTCTGATGCTGACTGGGGAGGTATCACTGACGGAGGACGGTCGACCACTGCATATGTGCTCTATATTGGGCCCAATATTCTCTCTTGGAAGTCCATTCGCCAGAAGAGTGTGTCTCGCTCTTCCACGGAAGCGGAATACCGTGCTTTAGCTAATGCCGCGGCTGAACTCCAGTGGGTTCAAAATCTTCTTTATGAGCTTCGTATCTCTCTTCAACAGCCTCCTCAGCTCTACTGTGATAACATGAGTACTCTTCATTTTTGTAAAAACCCGGTCTTCCATTCCCGGATGAAGCATATTGCTCTCGAATACTTTTTCGTATGTGACCTGATTGCCGCTGCCAAATTACAGGTGGCTCATGTGCGTTCTGCTGATCAATTGGCCGACATTCTCACTAAGACGTTATCCTGTGCCTTGTTTACGAAATTTCGTTCCAAGATTGGCGTCTCTGATGGATCCTTAATCTTGCGGGGGCGTGTAAAGGATAATGTTTAACTATTATTATTCTTGAAGTAGTCTTCTCCTCTTGGGTTTCTATCTATACGCATAGCACTGTAACAACCCTTGTAAATAGCCTTAGGAATAGCTCTTGCTAACCATTCTGTTCCAGTACTCATATGTATATATACTCTGCATGTAAACGTATGATCAATTGAATCATTATTCATCAATATCTTATAAATATTAGATCAAAGAAGTTGAGATCCAAAGTCTCGACTTGTTTCGCTGTGACCACGCGGGTCCAGCGATCGATGTTTGACGCTATGCGTGGGTCGTTAAGGAAACACACGACTTTAAACTCTTTCAAGTATGGGTATTTCAACCCCTCCAAGAGTAGTCGATCAACGAAACGTACAAAGTCGGACCTACATGAAGGCATCTCCTCCTCTAATGTGTAGCCGAATTTGGGCCGCACTTGTGGCGGTTCCAGAGTTACAGATCTTGAAAAATAGTTTGACCATAAAACCCTCCATTCTTTGCACACCACACTTGTTCTCACTGCTTCTTTCAATGGTAGAAGTGACAAAATCATCCCAATCACTTCTTTCGGTAATATATTAATCACATCTTTTGTTGTTCTCGAAACAAACTCTTTATCATCTTTCCTGTCGATCTCCATAATTTAGCCTAATACAAAGACAAAAGTTGAACACAAAAGTTGTGAATTATTATTAGATTAATATAAAGCCAAACGATTCCATAATATCTCGACGCTTTAAAAATATTTTTATTCATAACAAACAATCAACGTAATTAAAAAAAATTAGTGCACCAATATTTTTAAGCATTCTTACTCTATAAGTGTATTGTTTAGTTACTCCCTCCGTCCCATAATATTTGTCCACTTTCATTTTTACACACCATCCAACACACTTCTTTAATCAATTTTATCTTTTAATTTGTATATTAAAAAATTAGAAGCCAGTTCTAGAGCCACTGGAATCCAATGGCTACGGAAGCCACTACCCCCCTACGGAGCTCCATTCATGAAATTGATGATTCCTACGCTTCTAACCCCCTGTAAACCCCCCCCCCCCCACTAAGTCTCGATCCAAAATAATCACCCACCTACGTCAATTGCACCTCGCAAGTATAATTGACTTTAAAGTCAAAATTTTTGACTTTATACTTGCAAGATGCAATTGACGTAGGTGGGGGGAGTAGTTTGGGTCGAGACTTGGCGGGGGGGTTACCGTGGGTTAAGGGGTAGGAATCATCAATTTCATGAAAGGAGCTCCGTAGGGCGGCAGTGGATTCCGTAGCTACTGGATTCCAGTGGCTCTAGAACCGGCCTCAAAAAATTATAGAAATTATATATTAATAATCTATATGTTAAGACAAATCAAACAATATTACATATGACTATATTTAGACTTACAGATTGAGAGAATTTGATGGGTCAATGTGCTTCGATAAACAGTTTCAAAAGTTAAAAGTGGATTAATTTGGAGGGCGGAGGGAGTACAATTTTTGACAAAGAGTAATTATAGTTTGATTTTTTTAAGAAATAAAATGATAGTTTGGTTTGTACTCGGGGAACCGGCACAAGTTTTTGAGGAAAACAGACAACAAGCATTTTGATTCTATAGAGACGACATTCACCTTGGACACACTCATGACTCATCTTCCACATTAAAGATTATCACCACTATCCACACACAAATAAAAAAAATCACCATCTTTGTCTTTATTAGCTTCTTTTTATAAAGTCTCACCCTACCCTTCTATGATTGTGTCAATTTATTAAATCATCATCTCAATAACTCTGGTTTTATTTATATAAATTTATAACCCTAAATTTTTAAGATTTGAATAGCCCTGGTGTAAATTTATAACCCTAAATTGTTAAGATTTGAATAGCCTTAGTGTATTTATATAAGTTTTCTATATCTATTTATTTCAAAAAAGTCACAAATCAAATCTCCAAAATCAAGTTGAAAGAATTTTACATATTGAATCATATATACGTAGTAATAACATTGGAAATTTGGAAAGAAGTCAAGAAAAGAAATTAGAAACTCACCTCGCAGCTGTGAATCCCTTCACCTTCTCGACCCTCTCGGCTATTGCTGCAATATCAAAAGTGGAATTGTGGGAAATTAAATAAGTCACACTGTCACAAATTAAATACTCCGTAAGTAAATGCAAAATAAAGGGCTGTTTGGCCACTTCTGAATGGGTAAGTGCTGAACCAATAAGAGGTCTGAACCATTAAGTGCTGAACCAGTAAGAGGTCTGAACCATTAAGAGCTAGTATATTGCTTAACTATTCAGAGGCAAATGTCTGATCAATTCAGATAAGAGCTCTTAACCATTCAGACTCTGTATAATACTTAACCATTCAGAGGCAAATCTCTTAACCATTCAGACATCTGAACCATTAAGAGGCTGAAACAAACAGTTTGAACCATTAAGTGCTGAACCAGTAAGAGGTCTGAACCATTAAGAGCTAGTATATTGCTTAACTATTCAGAGGCAAATGTCTGATCAATTCAGATAAGAGCTCTTAACCATTCAGACTCTGTATAATACTTAACCATTCAGAGGCAAATCTCTTAACCATTCAGACATCTGAACCATTAAGAGGCTGAAACAAACAGTTTGAACCATTAAGTGCTGAATCATTCAGACATCTGAACCATTAAGAGGCTGAAACAAACAGCCCCTAAATTTGATAAATAGAAACTGTATGCAAACATGAATCTAATTATATTTAATTTACACCATAATTAAATATATATACTTTTTACCATTTATAGTTGAATTGAATGGTGTCACTATTCTCATAAAAAAGTTAAAACATGAAGAAATTTAAGGGAGAGGAGTACTACAAAAAATTGTGATGCTAAGGCCATGTTTTCTCCTGATCTAAGGCTATGTGGAATGCCAACCACAGCGGGAAGATGACGTGTCACGGGAAAGGGAGGGAAACACGGCCCACTCGTGCGGCTCCTCCCCTTTTTTCCAGTTGGCCAACATTCTAATCTGATTGGAATAATTTCTAGTTTAATCTGAATGTAATTATATTTAAAATTGTTTCTGATCTGGTACGATTAGTAATCAATAAATAAAAATAATAATAAATAAAAAATAAATGGCTAAAACTGTAACGCAAAATTGGAGGAAGAAGAAAAAAACAAACTAAAAACGAAATCTTAATTAATTAGGTAGCTAGTACTCACATGGATTAATAGCGAATGATGACGGCGGTGGGTGGTGGAAGCTGGTGGTGGTGGTGGACGACAGAGGAGGCACGCCGCCGCACAGATGATGGCTTGTATTATAGTTGTATCCATCATATACTTTTAAGTCCTAAATAAAGGATTCCAAGTCCCATTGGGAAGTAGATATATAGATGACCGCTCTATGTTAGGCCTCATTGCTCAAAATTTGCAGCCCATTGTATTTGATTGGGCTCACATTAATACTTTACCTTCCATACCTCCACTATTTAACTTCAAATATTTAGTAGAAGAGTAATATTATAATAAAAAATAAACCGTTCACAAAAGAGTGATGATTTTCACAAACAGAATACTTACAAACTTTACAAAATTTCTATTTATGGTTTAAAATTTCATTTTAACATTATTTTAGACCATTTAATTTTTTTCATTGAAGTTCACAAATAGCAAGTTTGTGAGTTTGTGACCATTGGGTTTGTGAACCAAGCACTTCCCTTCACAAAATTCATAAATTTACTTTTTAAATATTTTATTAGAAATAAGATGCACTCTAATGATAGTAAAATATGTTAATTTAAAATTAAAACGATAGACTTTTAAATAATACGTACTCTCTAATATATACATACTCCCTCCGTTCCGAAGTACATGTTTTGTTGGTTAAGGATCCGTTAAAGAAAACGAGAAGGAAAAGTATGTATATAGCATAGGCACTTATGGGTTTTAATTAACAAAGTTCAGCCAGCGTCATATAAGGAGTAATTATTATTACCTTTCATTTGGTATACGCAATTTACGAAATTAGAATTGAATTGAGATGAGCAATTTACCTAAATAGCACTAAAACATAATGACTTTCCCTAAATAGCACTACATATGTTTTTTTTCTCAATCTATCACTTTTAATGATTATCCTTTAGTCATTATTCAAGTAAATTTTTGTTATCACTGGTCATTATGGACATTATAAAGTGCTATGTAGGGAAGAAAATTATCTAAGTGCTATTTAGAGAAATGACTTAAATGTTAGTGTTATTTAGTGCAAATATTTTTAGTTTATACTCCGTAATAGGGATCGGAGTAGTACATATATGTCAATTGTTAATAGAGGTTTCATTGAATAAATCAAGTACTGCAAGCACTATTAGACACGGATCGGTCAATAATTATCTCCTCGGTGCAGTGTGCCGCTTGTGGGCAATGTGGGGTACGGTGGTGGTGGTTGTTGTGACGGTGATGTCAATGATTCCTCTTGTGCTTCATATATGTTAGCTAGGTTCATCACTTTCGTTGCTTGAAGATGATTCTGAGGAGCTCCCACATAGAGGGATCGATCTTCTTTTAAAGTTTGTTAAGCACGGTTGTCATTTGCCACACTTAATTGTACGCACTTAATAGGACATGCGTGGTGTATTAAGAACACGTAGTGTACGTAAGTGTTGTGAAATAAAATATTAGCAACATATATATTATTAAGTGTGGTTAATATGTTCATTCGTCACACTTTTCTAAAAATGCAAAAAAAAAAATCCACATTTAAGTAGCGACACTTAGGACATGCGTGACAAATCGTTTTTTCGTCGTGTACAAGCTAGTGTAGCGGATAACATTTTCAAGTGTGCCAAAATGAATACTTTCTTGTGGTGACGTGTTGCATAAATAAGATTTAATTTTAAAAAATTATATTGACATAATGAAAGAAAAGAAGAGAAAAATTAAGTTTATGATATGAGCATGAGTTTATGGAATTAATTGATTAAAATGTTAATGTCACAAGCTAGTAGAGCAAATTAATTAATTAATCTATTATTAAGGGTTAAGCTAAGCTTGCTAGCTACTCCGTAGTACTTACGGAGTACGGAGTATTATATACGGAATATCAAGCACATAAGTAATTACGGAGTAACAATTAGGAACTGCTTAATTGGTAATTAACGAACAAGATGGTGGAGTTGTATATTCATTATTTGTAGAGTACTAAATACTCCGTATGGTAGTAAGAGCACACCATATAATTAAGATGGATTAACACCGTATGTATGTAACATATAGCTTGGCGTACGCCTAAATGTCACAGATTTTTAGATAATTAATTATTTGTAGATTAGCTAAATTAACATAGCTTGGCCTACATAATTAAGTTGTACTCCCTCCATCCCAAAAAAGTCTGTTCCGTTTCGAAAAATTGCGTCCTTTAAAGTCTGTTTCATTTCTTTTAAAAAATCAATTTTATCTCTTATTTTTTCATACTCTATCTATCATATCATACTTTTTTTCAAATAATCTACACATCACATCTTACTTTTATGCCCATCATATCAAAGATATTTTTGGAAAGTCAAAACTAAAATGTTACTCTTTATTTTACTAATTTAGTCAAAATGGGACAAACTTATTTGAAGGGAGGGAGTATATTAATTATTTGTAGATTGTTAATTTGTCAAATGAGTGATATAATGAGGAAAACACATGTCAGGGAGGGGTCTTGATGAAGCCTTGATCCATAGTGCATATATATATTGATTTTTTTTTGAAAAAGAAAAAAACGGGGCCGGGGAAGAGTATAGTTTATGATACGGAGTATGATATATCACCAAGTATGTAGAGCATGCAACATATATTCCAAATTCAAGCTAGTCTAACAGTAGGGCGCACTAAGTTTCGTAACATTTTTCAACTAGAAAAAAAAAGAGTGTTGTTAGTTACTTTAATTAATTTAGTTATATGGATATATCTATGACAAAATTAAATCTCTTATCTTATTAGAATAAAAAGTAGTGTGTTATGTAGAGTACATATACTGCATGTTGCATTAATGTAAATGTACGTAAGCAACACTAATGGTCATATTATATGTTGTTGTGTCGCATGCATATTGTAAATAAGATTTGATTAATTTGAATATTAAAAAGGTTTCATTTCATTAATATGGTAGAGCAAGCTAATCAATTAATTAATTAAGCTACATATAGTAACGTACTTATTATATAAAGAAGAACCAATGCAATTAATAAGGAACAATATGATTTGTAGATGGAGTACTATATATGGATCGGAGTGGTACAATATGGATGGATTAACAACGCTAGTAGCTAGCTAGCAAACAATTAACAACAAGGTATGTAAGAAGGCAGTAGGTACTATGTATACACACACACAGAAAGCAACAACAACTAATTAACAACTAACAAACAAACAAACGAACATAGCAGGCTAGTGTATGTTGTGATTATACGTACGTGCATGCATGCATGATATGCATATATGCATGATAGATGGAGGTCCATGGTAGGCACAGGAATGAATAATATTGTATGTATACGTAGGGTATATAGCTAGCTTGTCGGAGGATATGATATGATGAATGGATCGATGGATGAAATTACCAGTCTGGAACCTTTTTCTTCTGCTCATTTGGATTGCAGGTCATGCAGAGAAGGCCAGGCTCCTCCTTGATTACGGCGGCGCTGGGGACAATTGTGAAGAATTGCTTTGTAATGTGGGAAACCATTTCCCAGGCGTCATGGTGGTCGTCGCGGCTGCCATTTCCCAGGGGAGGAGGGCGTCGTCGTCATCTTCTTCTCTCGCTTCATCCATCTTGCCGCCGCCGTCCGCTGGCAGCCGCAGCACGGAACGCAGCAGCAGGTCCAAGGGGCCGCCACCCCGCTGTTGCTGATTCGCTTCCAGTAACTCTTTCGCACACATCTCGGCGACGTCATCCCTGCATCCATCGTCGGAATATACTATACATATGTAAGGCATGCACGCACACACACACTCATATATATGTATGTATGTATATCGATATATATATATATATATAAACCTGCGAAGACCGGCTAGGCCGGCAGCCATGGATGCGGCGAAGGAGACCTTTGTTGTACTTGTTGAAGACGACGACGGAGAGAGACTTTGGGATTCCTCCATGGCCGGTTTTCTTGATCGATCCAGAACTCGAGAGAGAGGGAGAGAGATTTAGAGAGAGATTGATTTTCTTGATGGAATGAGATTATTGCGCCTCGTGCCCCAAAATCTCACACCATCCCTCTCTATATATACTGCTCCGTACTAACTAACTTCCGAGAAATCCGGCCGGGCCACTTCAAATTCGCGCGCAGAGAGAAAGAGAGAGAGAGAGAGATTGATTTTCTTGATGGAATGAGATTATTGCGCCACGTGCCCCAAAATGTCACACCCTCCCTCTCTGTATATACTGCTCCGTACTAACTAACTTCCGAGAAATCCGGCCGGGCCACTTCAACTTCGCGCGCAGAGAGAAGGAGAGAGAGAGGAAAAGGCTTTTTCTTCCGTGCCATTCCTAAAGTGAGGGTTTTGGTACACTCAACACATGGACCAATGAGAAGTGGACATGTGGTACCATATTCCACATTATTTAATATATTTTTGTTTATTGCAATCCAGCCCCAAATCTAAAATTGAATTTTTATTTCTTTGGATCCACCGTTTTTCACATCTTCCGTTAACTGCATCCCCTAGCACCGTCTACAGCAACATCGACTCCACCAACAGCTAGCGTGTGCCTCCAATACCGTCTCCATCTCCAGCGGCGTTGTCTGATACGGACTGATTTCATTGTCCCACACCGGTGACCGAACCCAAACTTAACCGAACCCGAACTAATCCGAACCTAAGGTGACCGAACCCGAACCCGATCTGACCGACCAATTTTCCAGGTCTAGTTTTCCTTATCGTTTTCTTTAACGGATCGTTAACCAACAAAACATGTACCTCGGAACGGAGGGAGTATGTATTAGAGAGTATTATTTAAAAGTCTATCGTTTTAATTTTAAATTAACATATTTTTCTATTATTTGAATGCATCTTATTTCTAATAAAATAATTAAAAAGTAAATTTATGAATTTTGTGAAAGGTTTATTTCTGATTATAATATTACTCTTCTACTAAATATTTGAAGTTAAATAGTGGAGGTATGGAAGGTAAAGTATTAATGTGAGCCCAATCAAATGCAGTGGGCTGCAGATTTTGAGCAATGAGGCCTAACAAAGAGCGGTCATCTATGTATCTCCTTCCCAAATGGGACTTGGAATCCTTTATTTAGGACTTAAAAGTATATGATGGATACAACTATAATACAAGCCATCATCTGTGCCGCCGCGTGCCTCCTCTGTCGTCCACCACCACCACCAGCTTCCACCACGCACCGCCGTCATCATTCGCTATTAATCCATGTGAGTCCTAGCTACCTAATTAATTAAGATTTCGTTTTTAGTTTGTTTTTTTCTTCTTTCTCCAATTTTGCGTTACAGTTTTAGCCATTTATTATTATTTTTATTTATTGATTACTAATCGTACCAGATCAGAAATAATTTTAAATATAATTACATTCAGATCTAACAAGAAATTATTTCAACCAGATTAGAACGTTGGCCAACTGGGAAAAAGGGGAGGAGCAGTGCTCCTCTTCCCGTACCCGCACGAGTGGGCCGTATTTCCCTCCCTTTCCCGTGACACGTCATCTTCCCGCTGTGGTTGGCATTCCACATAGCCTTAGATCAGGAGAAAACATGGCCTTAGCATCACAATTTTTTGTAGTACTCCTTCCGTCCCTTAAATTTCTTCATGTTTTAACTTTTTTATGCGAATGGTGACACCATTCAACTATAAATGGTAAAAAAAGTATATATATTTAATTATGGTGTAAATTAAACATAATTAGATTCATGTTTGGATACAGTTTCTATTTATCAAATTTATTTTGCATTTACTTATTTAAATTATACTCCCTCCGTCCCAAAAAGATTTACACGTTTCAAAAAAATTGTGTCCCACAATTCCTTACCCATTTCTATTAAAAAACCACTTAACCCACTTATTTTTTTGAACCCTACCTATCACATCATACTTTTTTCCTAATAATCTACACATCACATCCTACTTTTACTCATCACATCAAGGGTATTTTTGGAAAGTCAACACAAAATTATCCATCCCTTAATTTCAATTTTAGTCAAAATGGGTAACACTATGGGACGGAGGGAGTATTTAATTTAGGACAACAGTGTGACTTCTTTCCCACAATTCCACTTTTGATATTGCAGCAATAGCCGAGAGGGTCGAGAAGGTGAAGGGATTCACAGCTGCGAGGTGAGTTTCTAATTTCTTTTCTTGACTTCTTTCCAAATTTCCAATGTTATTACTACGTATATATGATTCAATATGTAAAATTCTTTCAACTTGATTTTGGAGATTTGATTTGTGACTTTTTTTGAAATAAATAGATATAAAAAACTTATATAAATACACTAGGGCTATTCAAATCTTAAAAATTTAGGGTTATAAATTTAATATACAAATTAAAAGATAAAATGGATTAAAGAAGTGTATTGGATGATGTGTAAAAATGAAAATGGACAAATATTCTGGGACGGAGGGAGTACCTAAACAATACACTTATTGAGTAAGAATGCTTAAAAATATTGGTGCACTAATTTTTTTAATTACGTTGATTGTTTGTTATGAATAAAAATATTTTTAAAGCGTCGAGATATTATGGAATCGTTTGGCATTATATTAATCTAGTAATAATTCACAACTTTTGTGTTCAACTTTTGTCTTTGTATTAGGCTAAATTATGGAGATGGGCAGGAAAGATGATAAAGAGTTTGTTTCGAGCACAACAAAAGATGTGATTAATATATTACCGGAAGAATTGATTGGGATGATTTTGTCCCTTCTACCATTGAAAGAAGCAGTGAGAACAAGTGTGGTGTGCAAAGAATGGAGGGTTTTATGGTCAAACTATTTTTCAGGATCTGTAACTCTGGAACTGCCACAAGTGCGGCCCAAATTCGGCTACACTTTAGAGGAGGAGATGCCTTCATCTAGGTCCGACTTTGTACGTTTCGTCGATCGACTACTCTTGGAGGGGTTGAAATACCCATACTTGAAAGAGTTTAAAGTTGTGTGCTTCCTTAACGACCCACGCATAGCGTCAAACATCGATCGCTGGATCCGCGTGGTCACAGCGAAACAAGTCGAGACTTTGGATCTCAACTTCTTTGATCTAATATTCTCCCCAGTGTGGAGTTACAATTTTTCATGGCCGGAAGGGTGCCGGTGTTTGAAGGTCCTTCGCTTGAGATTCATAAGTGTTTCGGGAGAAATGCTGGAGGGACTCTTGGCCAGCTGCCCCTTACTCCAAGAGCTAAGCATTTCAAGATCACGAGAATTAATATGTTTTCGCATTTTGCACCACGAGGCCTTGAAGCGTTTGGAGATTCATGCCTTGGCGAGAGCTGTGGGGGATGCACTAGTCACAGTGGTATCGGCCCCCAATTTGGTGTATTTTAAATTCGGCGGCAATGGACGATTCTGTCACACATCTTTGGTCGATGTGCCTTGCCTGACCCAAGTTTTCTTGGGACCGAGCTATGCAACTCATGTATTAGATGAAGAAAGCTCCCCCGATGTGAAATTTGACCTCCTTCATCAAGTCCTTCATGACTCCATTGCGCGCCGATTGAAAGAATTGACATTGGACTTCTCCGATAATCTAAGTTGGGGCTCTTGTTTCCGCAAACAAGAGCGGATCGAAACATTACTTGACACCCTTACGCACTTGAACTTGATTGTGCTCGTGCGCTCCCGTAATTTCCCCAAGAGATACGCTCGGTATGATATATCCGAGTTGGAGAAAACGGCATCGCCCGCATTTCATAAATTTGTACCCAAGTTGGAGTGGAGGGAGGAATGTCATAAAGAGATTTGGTTTTCGGATGAGAATGTGGCAGATGTTTGTATGCATGAAGAGGTTGTTAAAAGGTGGATCTTCAATAACAACAATGGTGGTCTATTTACTATCAAATGGCGCGGTGTTTCACTTTAGTGCCCTTTTGTTGGTTTTTGTTGTTGTTGNGCCCGCATTTCATAAATTTGTACCCAAGTTGGAGTGGAGGGAGGAATGTCATAAAGAGATTTGGTTTTCGGATGAGAATGTGGCAGATGTTTGTATGCATGAAGAGGTTGTTAAAAGGTGGATCTTCAATAACAACAATGGTGGTCTATTTACTATCAAATGGCGCGGTGTTTCACTTTAGTGCCCTTTTGTTGGTTTTTGTTGTTGTTGATGTTGTTTTTGGATGTCAATACCTTTTTTAGTTATTACTCCGTATTATTTATTAGCATCGGGCAAAGAAATAACTTATTTCTCATGCTACGGAGTATATTAGAGAGTGTTGTTCAAAGGCTATCCTTTTATTATTTTATAAGGCTTTTCATGTCTTGTGCTCTAAAAAGTAGTTTTGCGATGTAAAGTATCTATTATTTCACATCTGATGTTAGATTTGTATATAACAACATTCTGGAGTAAATTCCAAAAATTGTACTCAATAACTATGTTTTTTCTAAATTAGTCTATAAGATGAACTAATTAATATTGTACTCACTAATTGGAATCACCGGATGGAAGAAGAAAAGCCGTTGGGGAAGCGCTTGGATCATGCGAATGGAGAGAGGAAGAACCGTGTCCGTGCGTCACTGGACCGTCGAAGAAAGAAGAAATTACTCCGTAGAACGAGAGAGAGCATTGCGGAGAAGAGCTGGACCATCGAAGAATGAAGAAAAAAATTGAAACAAGAAGGGGCAAAGTGAAAGATTTTAATTTCACCTAGGTTGATCGGGGATTCAGTGGTTTCCAATTTTCTACTGTTGGGAATTTACATTACCTCCATCCACCTCCTCCTACCCATCTCAAATTTTTCTCACAAACAAGGTAAGTTTTAAATTTCACCTCAATCTACCTCTACCTACCTCATTCCAAACACAACCTTTGTGTTATTAAGATCCACCTTTTACGTACTCTCTATGGCATAACTTCCTCCACCTCAACTCTGGTATTGATGGGATTTAGGTAGCGTTCCGTTCAACTTATTTGTGTGCTATTTATCCGTAATTCGTCTCTTGTGTGTCAATCATGGCGAGAAACGCAATAAATAGCGCATGATGATGGCGGTGGTGATGCAGGAGGTAGTTGCCGCTGCAAGTAGTCGACAGCGGAGGAGGAGGCCTTCGGCGCAACTGACGTCAGTACTGGAGAGAAGTTGATATTTGATGACTGTTTTCAATAATGACTAGTGAGAAGAATAATATCCTAATGATGCTGGACATTTAGTTGAATAATGACTAATAGATAATGACCAATGGTCCTGCATTGGGAAATAAAAACATGTGGTCCTAATTTGAGAAAGTAATTATGTTTTAGTCCTATTTAGATAAATTATTCTAGAATAAATTGAAAGGAACTTAGGTATAAATTATTGTAATAAAACATGAATTTTAAAGAATATATGAAGTAATATTTATTTTATCTCCAATTATTTTAAATGAAAAATTTAAAAATCAGTCACCTAAACATCCATATTAACTCTTCAATTACATGAGAATTAAAAATAGACACCTTAGACAACTTGGGAGTGAAAATGTAAACATTAAATTTAGTTGAGTGCAGGAGAGTAATTAATTGTAAATAATATCATAAAAGTAAGAGTTTTTAGGTGTTTTAATTAAATCTTCCCAAAAAAATATTGTAAATTAAAAATTGTGTGACTGAGGACGAAAATTGAAGGGGTAAATTTTTTACTCTTCAAATGAATTTGGTACTTCAGTAAATATTTTTGATAAATATGTTTAGAAATTAAAGATTTTTAAAAATGATTTCAAAAATTACGAGATGTTATACTACCTACGTCTCAGACTATTTGTCCACTTTATTTTTACATACCATTCAATACATTTCTTTAATTAATTTTATTTTGTAATTTGTATATTAAAAAATTATACGGAATAGACATTATAGTATTAATAATCTATATGTCAAGATAAATCAAATAAGATCACACATGACTAAATTTAAGCTTACACATTAAGAAAATTTGATGAGTCAAAATACGAAGAGTTCCAAAAGTCAAAATTAAAATAAAGTAACACGGTGTATCCGAATTTGTAGCCCTAGATTCATTCGAATTTGACAACTTGTATTCGTTCCATACATTCATCCACTCTATGTATGTATACAGTATACCCCTTTCCCCACCCCCCCTACCCCGCAGCACAGTTATCTTTAACCTCTTCTTCTCCGCCGGCGCCTCCAGATCTCTCTTTCCCTCTCTCAAAATCCTAAGGTATTCGATCTGAATTCCCAGATTAATCGTGTCAAGCTTTCGATTCAACATCTGCCTCTTTTAGAATCTGTGTATGCGGACTACTAATTTGATAGATTCTTGTGGTTTCTTTTTATGTGTGCCAGTGGAGTGTTTCTATTCTTATCACGTTCGCTAGATTAGGTTTATAAGATTTTGTAACGAATCACTTGCGTCTGTACTACGGAGTTTTAGGGTTCATTTGCCGAAACAGTAAAGATGGTTGCTTTTTTTTCTCCTAATCCTAAGAAATTCCACTCTTTTCTTCGTTGATTATGCTGTTAGATTTTTTTTTTCTTTTATGGAAACACTAAAGATGGTTACTTTATATCGATATTGTTTTTAATTCCAGGAAATTTTCATTTGTTTTGGTGCTTATGGGGTTATGGGAGTTTTTGCCTGACAGTCATTCCTGAGATCCAGTTGATCAGTTTGGGGTTAATCTCCAAGTGATCGATTATTGGCTCTTTTTTCCTAGGGCTTGTGCTTAGTTGGACATATTCTGATGAACAAGAGCCAGATTTGTTGATAATTGGCCCATTTGTGTTATTATCATTTAAATTTTACCACATTGTTTTCTTGGGTTAATTGCCAGGTCTCTTGGAAATAGCATCCCTCCCCAGACTGTACTTTTTGTGTGATCTTAGTCATCTTACTGAGTTTGTATTGTTGTTGTAAATGTTTTACTTGTTCTTCTATCTTTAGCTTTTACTCCCTCCGTCCGGAAATGTTCTTCCCGTGTTGACTTGGCACGCTTATTAAGGAATAGTAAAAAAAATACAAAATTTTCAAAAATGCACATACTATAAACTTTTAAATCTCCTTTTATTATTAAAAAAGTATTAAAAAAGTAGATTTGTGATAAAATAGAAGGGTATTATTGATATTTAGCCTTAAAAAGCATACTAAAAAAGGAAATGGGAAGATTATTTCCGGACGGACCAAAAAGGAAAATGGGAAGAATATTTCCGGACGGAGGGAGTACTATGTAACTGTTTTCTACATTCATGGATTACATAATATTTGAGCTCTACTGTAATGAATATCACTGACACATCTTTTTTTGGATAGGGAGTTCAGATTTAAGGGGAATTGTTTACTGAAATTTCGCCTTTGACAAGGAAAGTTTGACTTGTATAGCGTCTATATAACTGTTAAAAGGTAAGGAGCTGAAATTGTCCTGTTTCAAATTAGTAACAGATAACACTTATTTGCGACATATCAACCAAGTTATTCAGATTTCTGCGCTCTAAATTCAAAGTTGTTTCTTGATGATAATTCAAGGGAATATTAGATTCACTTGAACTGTACATGTTTGGTGGGGATGGAGGGAGATGGGAAGCTATAATTTTAGAAAAAATTGCTTCTTTGAATTATGTGTTGCGATAATGTACGATGAAAATGATGAATTTTGAATTCTGTTTCATTCTTTATATCATTGCTTTTCTCTTCTCTCTGTTTTTGCATTTTTTCTTTTTCACATTTGCAGGAGTGTCTTTAACTTGGTAAGCATTATAAACCATCTTCGTTTACCGTAGTCTCTTTAAACCTGTTGTCTCTTTAAGCATTAGAAACCATCTTCGTTTTCAAGATTCATATGCTCAATACCTTGTTGGGCAACTTCTTCCCACAACTCATTTGTTCTCGTTCACATTTGCAGTAGTGTGTTTAACTTAATCTATCACCAGTTTTTCATGAAAACCCTCTAGTTCATTACAAAAATTTGCCTGGAATTTGTGCATTCTATTGTTTAAGTTAGTAGTATAAAATGATCCATGCTACGGTCACACCGCGGATGACACCAAGGTGGGCATGCTGGTGTGTCACGGATAATAATTTTTCATAGGCAAACACTGTGTGTGCCTGCTATTCTCTCATGTTTTCTAATCTTGGTTAAAGTAGTTCTTTCCCTTGTAGATTATGTGGATATGTTTTGATGGAGGAACTAACATTTTTTCCATTTCTCATTTTTGAGATGCACTTCTGGTCATCATCATACCAAAATGCAGTATTTTTGCTGTCATTTGCATTTCAATGGATGCCAAGAGATTCATTCAATTGGTCGAGGAGAAGAAGAAGAGGGCTTTGGAGAAGAATGAAGCTCGGCTGAAATGGGAGGAGAAGCTTGAGGCTGCAGCAATGGCGCGCGCAGATGCCAAAGCCAAGGAGAAGAAGGCAAGATCAGCAGCTGCCAAAACCAAGAGAAGATCCGTTTCAGAATCTGACAGCGGAGGCGATTCTTCTGGTGAGGAAGGGAGAAAGATCATCAAGAAGTCCCACTCCCACAAGAGGCATAAAAAGCATCATCACAAGAGCCGCAGACGGTCCCACTCTGGTAGCGAGGAATATGAGAGTGATGGATCAGAGGAGAGAGACCGGAGGAAGAAGCTGGCCCACAAGGAATATGGCAGTGATGACTTGGAGGAGAGAGACCGGAGGAAGAGGCGGGCCCACAAGAAGCACAGACATCATCGTGATAGACAAGGCTCAGACTTGAGCTCTGAAGACTCATCTTCATCTGATGATGAGAGTGATGATGCCCAGAAAAGAAGACACCACAAGAACCACAGGCATCAAAGGAGATCCCACTCTGGGAGCTCCTCAGAATCATCTTCAAGCAATGAAAGTGATGAAGCTAACATGAAGCGCAAGAGGAATCATCGCCATCGCCGTCACAACCACCACCACCACCACCACCACAAGCGGCACACAGAGGAGGTTGGTGGCGCATCAGATAATTGACCGTTCTGCGTTTAATGATTGCACTTGATTTATTCAATGAAACCTCTATTGACATGTACTATAAACTACAACTATGGTTTCTCTCTGCATTGCCTTTGATTGGTCACTTGGAATCCAAAGCTTGTTCTTAGGACTGCATTGAATTGAATTGTTCCCCGGCCTATTGTTGGTTTCCTATTCGGCTTCTAAACCTTATTTGCATTCTTTAGGACCATTGAAATACAATTGTTGGCTTCCTATGCTTCTAATCCTTTTGTGCATGTTTATGTGACAAAAAATAGCAAACATGCAATTTAAAATGAGATAGAAGGAGTACAAAACTAGTGACTAGTATATTATTTTATAAATTGGGACGGAGGAAGTATTTAAAAAATAGACTGTAATATCCTTTTATTTTTAAATTTTATTTTTAAAGCCTTTGTGTAAGAATTACACAAAATTTAGTTTTTAAAATCATATATAGTTATAAACTCACAAGGGTGAGTTTATGACAATTGGTAGAGGTGAAAAAAATATTAGTGTTTAAGATTTTATGTAATGTGTAATTTGTAATATGCAATATATTACGTAGTAGTATGTAATATGCAGATAGAATATGATATTTTTGTAGAATATCATCTATATCTTCTAATATTTGGTTATTTTAATACTGAGTAATAATACTCTCTTCACTATTTAGATAAAAAAAATACAGTATTATTTAGTTTTTACAGAGACTAAAAAAGTAGTGATGTTGAGAAGATATTTAACATTTCGAAAAAATGTTTAGAATATATCAACAATTAGCTATTGTCAACAATTTTCATATATAGTGACGTTGCGTAATATTGGAGGTAAGCTTCGTGCCATTGAAACTACAAAGACTTTTAAGTTTCTTGCAACAGACGTCGCAGAAAATTGCATTGCCCAGATCTGTCGCAAACTCCATCGCAGTTTCAACAGAAATGCATGCGTCGCAAAATGAAGAATTTCTTGTAGTGGACCTCCATCAATTCCTTCATTACTCCATTGCGTGCCACTTGAAAAAATTGACATTGGACTTGTCCGATAATAACAACAATGGTGGTCTATTCCCTATCAAATGGCGTGGTTATTCAATTCGATGCCCTTTTGTTTGTTTTTTTGTTATTGTAGGTGAATACCGTTTTTAGGTATTATTATTTATTAGCACAAGGCAAAGAAATAGCTTATTTCTCATACTATATATTAGAGAGTATTATTCAAAGCCTATCCTTTTATTTTATATGAGTTTTCATGACTTGTGCTCTAAAAATTAGTTTTGCAATGTAAAATGTCTATTATTTGACATTTGATGTTACATTTGTATATATCAACATTTTTTACATTGCAGAGTATAGTTTATATAGAGTATAGACCATACGAAGTAGTATACATCTAATATATTTGTATAATTTGATAATTCGAGTCAAATTCAACGATCTTTTTTTTTTAAATAAAAGTATATTGTATATTCATATAAAAACAGTTCAGGGGAGAATAGCATCCCAAACTGTAGGATGAACTTGCACATTTAATTTACGAGGAATGAACACTTCTAGTATGATTTCATATAAAAATGGTTAAGGATTAAAATATGAAATCAAACACGTGCGTCAGTAGATTTTAATTCTAGTGACAATGCAATCTTATAGGAGAAATAAGATTATTATTCATTGTTCGATCTTGTCTCGCAAATCAATCTATGCGCTATTTAAATATAGGCATTATTGTATTTTTGCAAGTGGCAATGGTGGTGAATGGCACTTGGTAGCAACCGCAAATGAAAAATCACCCGAAGACTAAAATTGTACTATTGAAAAAAATTTCTCATTGCCATTTGCCACTTAAGTGATGCTCTCAGAATTTATTGTTGTAGATGCAACAACTTGTAGTTGTACTATTGAAAGAAAAAAAAAAGATCTCATTACAATTTATATATGAAATCTACAAATGTGAATGCAGCAACCAAACTTTGAGCAGTAAATTTTTAGCTATGCTGATATCTGTCCATGCCAAATTGAATGTTTTTGTTGTAAACTCCAGAATAGAACAAGCGTGATCCGAATTTGGGGTGGGTCAAAAATTCTTCAAGATCTTCTCAGCTGAGACGCCGTCAGCAACGAGGATAGAAGTAATCTCCTGCAATGGGTTAGAGGATATGTGATTAAGATGCTGTGGATATAGATGGCACAGGTAAATTGAGTGATTCTAGCTTTTCAATGATTAAAAAAGAAGTCTTCAAACGACCCGGATTGCAAAACAAGCTTTTTTTTAGAAGCTAAGGGTGTGTTTGGTTCGAGGGGAGGGAGGGAGGGAAATGAAGTAAATGAGTGGAGAGAAGGGAAATTTTATGCTTGAGCCAGGGTCGATACAAGCCTTTCTTTCTACTCCTGAGTAAGGGTAAATATCTTTCTCCTCCATTGGTAACAAGGTAAACGCAGAGCCATAAGGACTGAAAATTTCACATCTAACAATATCTCAACCAAATCAGACCATTTCCCCAAAAGGGCGCGCACTAATATAAGCTATTTTGAATGATAAGTAGAAAATGTGTAGCAACAACAACCCAGTTGGATCACACGAGTGTGGGGTCTGGGGAGGATGTGTGTGAGTAGACTTTGCCCCTACTCGAAAGTAGTAGTAGAAAATGTGTAACTGTTTTTAGAGGGAGGAAATATATATCAACTCATGCATAGATAGGCTCTCTTTTACTTATTTCAGGGATAAAGTTTTAATGTGTGCAATTTGCAGAAACTGGAGAACAAAAATTGATGCATAGCCATGAATGCAAGAACCAAATCAATCTATGAATGCAACGAGATCTATTTTCTATCTTGAGATGAAATCAAGGTAAACTGACATTTAAACGAATTGAAAATATGATGGTGTTTGAAGGCTTGTTAAGATAAGGCAACTACAAACCTCCGCCATTGGTTTTTGTCCACAAAGCACTGCACCAGTTGACTGCGGTCTCAAAAGCTTCTTGGCTTTGGCAAATGCAGCCTGGGGGAAATACAGGCTAAGAATGTTTTCATTGCAATATAGAGAAGTAAAAGAACATAGAGAAGTAAAAGAGACATAAAGGAAATGATAAATGTATAAAAATTGTATGCCTGCACATAGCCACGCTCTCCTATCCAAGTATCATCCGGTTGAGACAATACTGGCACAACTTTAACTCCACTAGACTCCCAACTTTGAAATCTATCCTATAGAAGTAGAGAGGAACGGGAAATCAGCAAACTTGTTTAAACTGCTCATTATCAAATATCAATCGAATAAGCCTTACAATAACAAGTATGAAAAATACCTTGTAAGCCATCCGCTCTAGGTTGCGGGCACCATAATATAATCGCACGTCAGATCTCTGGTCCGCAGCAAATCCATCCTCAATCAGAGAGCGGATTGGACTGCAGATGGAAATAGAAAAAAGAAAAATCCATCAGCAGGAATGGAAAGGAAGAAGTTGGATAACTAGAAGAATGATTAATTATTGCAATTTTTGTTAGGAAGAAACAAGGATATCTGGCAAACCTTAGGTGAAATACCACTACGATTTACCACCCATTTTGGAGTAAAATAAAGACCCTATGCACAAGAAGTCTTGGACATGCTCACTTCACGGGCTATTATGTGGTGCTTATTAGGCCTCATGTTACTAATTAATGCTTAATATGCAGTGCATTACAAATATTTATTTATATAACCGTGATAACATGCGTGACAATATAATAATTCATACTACAGTTACTTCACATAGAGTAAATCATATCTTGAGTCTTAAATGAAATATTTTTCCTTGAAGTGCGGTGGTGATTTGCCACGATGGTGATCAACAGCAATAACCCGTAGTAGCAGTGGCTAGTGCCGGCGGTCAAAGTTGATGATAATGGCAAGCAGCACAGATGTGAGATGTTGGACAGCAGCAGTCGGTGATGATGATTGATGGAGTAAGCAAGTAGAGTAGGTGGGTAGTCGTTTCGGCCTTGGTTTGCTTTTTTCATGTGTGTTTTCTTTGTTGGGTGCTTTTTGCAGTATTGCCTCTTTGCGCTTTCTTTTACCCTTAGTTTGCTCCTTGCTTATTGTATTTGAGCTTTGTGTGCCTTCTGCATCGATCAAGCCAAGAGTCACTTGTAAACGTCCTCTCTACTTTTGAGTTTCGAGTAGGGGTAACTGATAAGGTCTGCTTACACACAGCCTCCCCAAACCCTACTTTCGCGGGTTGTTGTAAGCGAGTAACCTTAAAAATGAGCTTATCATGTTACGGTAGTACCAAACGAATTTAGGTTTACGACACTCTACATTCTACAACCTCCATAAATCACAATAAAAGACCATTTTTTTATATTTGAAGTTTCCATATGACTCTGACCCCTCCCTTCTAAATATAGTTATTATGTACTCCCCCCATCCCATAATTTTCTTCTTTGCCTTCATAAGATCTTTAATAAAGTGTAATTTGTGTGGTTGGGATTTGTGTAGAGGAAAGATAAATAATAAGAACCATATGATGTTTTCCTTACAACGAAAGGGAAGAAAATTTTGGGATAACCCAAGTAGGAAAGTAAGATGATAATGGCAGAAAGGAGGGAATATGAAAGAATATCAACGGCAATTAACAACAAAGGTGTTGAAAGATAATTTGGAAGAGGCAAATAATGAAGTGAAACCTTTTGCTCACAAGAACAAATGTGTAGTAGTCCAGGACTCCAGGAGATAAAGAGAATTGATGACCTAAAAAATCAGTCCTGTAAATCAGAAAACATAGTAGAGTGGTTGACCTTCCATCCACAATCCTGTCAAACAGCCGGGCGGTGTAAACATTGAACACAATCAGCAGATGGCTAGTTATTAGCTGCCACCGATGTATCTCAAACAGAAGATTATGTTCAGAATTTCATGCCCGGTGGCTCTATGCAAAGGTCCAATCTTGGCCCATATGAGTCAAATTTCTAAGTATTTGAATTCACATTTAAGACATAAGAGAAAGAAAATCAGATATAAGCATATAATCATGTGCATTCATAGTAAGAACATCACAGTATTTTGATTTCAGAATAGCTCTGCTTTGGAAAAACAGTATTTAGTCTATTTACTATAGATAATTACTCCTATAATAATATAAAATCGAAAAATAAAAACAGTTCTAAATTGAATGAAATGTAAAAACTTTTACAGGTGATAAACTCACCTTATTCCAGACCCAGTGGCGAAAATCAGGACGGATTGATACTTCTCTGGTGGAGAAATCAGATCAATCTCGAAACCTTTCCCCATAGCCGAACTCAGCTCCACCACATCTCCTTTCTGGAGTTTACACAGAAGCTCCGCAGTCGAGCCAGGGACGCTCTTCACCAAAAACTCAAACACGCCCTTGGCGGCGGAGAGAGACGGCGGGGAGGCGATAGCTAGGAACGAAGGCTTCTCGACGTAGGGGATGCGGAGCTGGAGGTACTGCCCCGCCTTGGTGTGAGAGACCGCGAGATCGGGAGAGTCGGACACGTCGACGGTGACGTGGAACAGCGATTCCGCCGCGGGGGAGACGGTCGAGAGAGGGGCCGGAGTCCAGACGGTGGTGTCCTGACGGACGGCGGCGGCGGCGAAAACGGAGAGACGGCGGAGATGGTTGCGTCGGAGGAGGAGAGGTTTGAGGAGGGTCATGGAGGAGGAGGTGCGGAGGGGGAATTGAGTGAGGCAGGGTGCATGGGAACGGGGGTGAGGAGTCGGAGGAATACGGAGAGTTGGAGTTAAAGGATGAATATTGGCCGTCGACATTTCAAAGGGAAGGAAATTTCCAAACGGCGGCGCGTGAATGGCAGAAGGCGGGGTCTGCGGAGGAGATTAAACGCCGCCGCCTAGAAACGCGGACATGGTGTGGTAAACTGTACTTTGTCCACTTTTGACTTTTGGAATTGTTCATCTAAACATTTTGACTTATCAAATTTTCTCAATGTGTAAGCCTAAAAAATATCTTGTTTGATTCGTTTTAAGATATAGATTATTAATATATAATTTTTTAATATACAAATTACACGATAAAATTAATTAAATGAGTGCATTGAATGATGTGCAGAAATGAAAGTGGATAAACACTCAGTGATGGAGGGAGTAATACATACGAGTATATGGGATGAGAAAAAATGTTACTCAATCTATTTGTCAAATTATTTCAAAGATTTTTTTTATAATTTATACTTTCTCAGTCTAATTATTTTAATTATAAATTAGTATATAAGAAATCTATAAAATATAAAATAATAAAATTATTTTATTTTATGAGATTATTGATAATAATATACAAGCAAACAAAAATTTTGAAAAACCGTAATAGTGACAGTAGTATTCATTTTTGAGATGAAAGAAGTGATCATCTAATGTACTCTCGAGTAGTAGGTATTCATTAGCAAATTTTTTCGTGGTCTTACAATTTATTGCATTTTTTGAATCTTAGTATATTTTTAACAAAAAAGAAGTAAGTTGTTTGCTAAAAAGAAAAATACTCAATGCAAGTTCATTAAAAATATAAAAAGATTCATATTTTTAAATGTAAACTTTAAGACAATTAAAACATCACTCGGACTCATATAAGGCCTAAAGAGTACATTTTCTCAGTGTATTTAGCCACGGATAATTACTACAGAGTAGTTATAATATCGTTACAATGTTTTTCAAAAGATGTAGATTTCATTTATACATTAACATGCTTTTTTCAATTTTTATATGCATGCATTTCGGTTAGCAAAAATTCATGGTATATCAATAAATAAGAAGAATAAATTATTTGAGCAAACAAATTTTTGTTTGACCCTGTGCGTGTCACGAGTTAGAATACTAGTATATATGTATATAGATAAAGCTGAGGGACTTAATTGTAATGACAACACATGTATTGCCACATATAGATTCATGTGACACATGTGATGTCACATATGTTCCTTATCGCCACATGTCATGCCATGCATGCATATTAAATTTCATATTAAATAAACATCATTTTATTATACTTTATAAACTTCTCATCTTCTAACCTTGTGACTTTCTCACTAAAATAGTTACTAATTTTATGAAAATAAAATACTCCGGTAATTAATAAATTTTAATTTTAAATCTATTCACCATTTCCTTTATTTCAAAAAATAAAGTTATGGATTATTGAAATATTCACAATTGCTGTTTTACTAATTTTTAATATACATCCGTCTCAGAGTATTTGTCCACTTTCATTTTTACACATTATCCAATACACTTCTTTAATCAATTTTATCTTGAAATTTGTAAATTAAAAAATTATAGGAATTATATATTAATAAACTATATGTTAAGACAAATCAAACAAAATCGTATATGACTATATTTAGACTTACACATTGAGATAATTTGATGAGTCAAAGTGCTTAGATGAACAGTTCCAAAGTAAAAAGTAGACAAATATAGCGGGACGGAGGAAGTATCTAACAAGAGTCAAAACCCTACGTATGCAAAAAAAAAAAAAGAAAAATAATGCATCTACATTAAAATGAAAAAAATAATACATCTATATTAAAATTAAAAATATACTTCTATTAAAATTGATGTATCTTATAACTATAAAAAATAATATCTCATATTGTAAATTTATTAAATTAAATAACTAAAATAAATAACTTCATAATTAGAATGCATAAAAAATAGAATGTATGCGAGCCTAGGGGTGGATATGGTACCGGTACGGTACCGTGACCGGAAACGGTACCGCCGGTTCCGGTACCGTTACCGTCGGCCGGGACGGTCCACCGGTTTCGGGAACCGGTACCAGTACCGCCCACTCCGGTACTGGTTCCGGTGCCCATTTTTCGGTACCGGTTCCGGTACCGTAATTAATTTTTTTTATTTTTATTTTTTATTTCATTCTTTCCTTTATCAATTTCATTTTTAGAGTTTTTTATTTCATCATTTCTTTTAACAATTACACATTTACAATTTTACACTTTAAAAATTTAATAAAAAAGCAAAAAAAAAGAAAATTATGGGTCGCCGAAACGGTACCGGAACCGGAACCGCCAGTACCGGAACCGGTACCGGCCGATCCGGTACTGGTATCGGTGCTAAGGGGTGACGGTACCGGAACCGGCAGTTCCGGAACCGTACCGTGTCCACCCCTATGCGAGACCGTGCAAAGCACAAGATTAAGGCTCCGTTCCGTTCAACTTATTTTTTCTTATTTTTTCTTATTCTTATTAAAATCAGATCAGATCAGATCAGATCAGACCAGATCAGATTAGATCAGATCGAATCAGATCAGATCAAATCAGATCCAATCAGATCAGATCAGATCCAATCAGATCAGATCATATTTAAGCAGATTAGATCAGATCCAATCAGATCAGATCAGATTCAACTAGATCAGATCAAGACTTATAAAATCAGATCCCATCAAGAATTATTATTATTATTATTATTATTATTATTATTATTATTATTATTATTATTATCATCATCATCATCATCATCATCATAATCATCATCATCATCATTACAATGTCAATCTAATTCTACTTTTAAAATATATTTTTATTGCTACTTGTAATTTGAGTTTCTAAACTTTTGATCTTTTATAAGGATGAGATATTTTAATAAAAATAATATCTCTTCTATATATTGATTATCTAAATTTAATTATTTTTTAATGTATATCTAAATTAAATATTTATTCTAATGGATAATTCTAATTTTACAAAAAGATAATCATAAAATAAAAATATTATTACATTATGATATGAATGATTATTCTAATATATGAATTGACTATTTTTATTTTATTAAAAAATAATCATTAAATAAAAAATATTGATTATATTATAATATGAATTATCATTACAATTTTCAAACTTTATTATAAAGTCAAATTAAATTATTCATTTAAAATTTTAAATTAAATCATAATTAATTGGATCAGATCAGATCAGATCCAATCAGATCAGATCAGACCATACCAGATCAGAACTTATTAGAATTAGATCAGATCAGAAAAAATAAGTTGAACGGAACGGAGCCTAACTCTAGTAATAATAATACGGAATAATAGAAATAAAGAAAAATACCGTAGTACAATGATTAGTATTTATTGCCCCGTACAAAGTGAAGCTAACGGGAATGGGCCAAGTCTGTCCAATGGGCGCAGTTTTATCATATACTCCGGGGTAAATTATAAAGGGCGAACATATGGGCTTCAATGGGGTTTTAGTACTCTATACAAACTGAAACTAATGGAATGGGCCAAGTATGGGCCTTACTCCCGATCGTGAGCTTACCTACGTAATAGTGATGTGATATATAATCACAATTCACACACAGCCATCTCTGCCTCAGGATCCTCCGTCGTCAACCGCAGAGGCAGCTTCCTCCCCCACCGCCACCGCCGCTACCGTACTCCCATAATCAATAAATACCTGTGAGTTTCCTTTTTGGGTCTCTTTCTTTGCGCCCATAGGTTAATCAAGCTGTTGTTTAATTAATTATTTGTTATTATTTTTTCAAATTTTCCATCAATTAAGAATTACTTCCGCGATCATGTAATGTTTTGCAGTTTGCGAATCGCAATTTCATATTTTACGCAATTAAAACTCCTAGTTGCATCATTTAATTCATCAAAAAAAATCATAGTAATCGTATTAATAATTCACTGAGTTCTGTCAAAAATTTTTAGCAATATATTAACAAGGTCTATTATATTAATCTAGTAATAATTCCCATCTTTTGTCGTTATATTAGGCTAAATTATGGAGATGGACATGAAAGATGTGATTAATAGATTACCGAAAGAAGTGATTGGGACGATTCTGTCCCTTCTACCATTGAAAGAAGCAGTGAGAACAAGTGTGGTGTGCAGAGCGTGGAGGGTTTTATGGTCAAATTATTTTTCGGGATCTGTAACTCTGGAACCGCCACAAGTGCCGCCCAAAATCTGCTACCTATTGCGGGAGGAGATGCCTTCCTGTTTGTCCGAGTTTGCATGTTCAGTTGATCAACTACTATTGGAGAAGTTGAAATATCCATTCTTAAAGGAGTTTAAGGTCGCGTTTTTCCTTAACTATCCAAGCATAGCGTCAAACATAGATCGCTGGATACACGCTGTCGCGGCCAAACAAGTCGAGAAGCTGGACCTCGACTTCTTAGATGTAATAAGGCCCCCGTGGAGCTACAATTTTTCATGGCCGGAAGGGTGCCGGTGTTTGAAGGTCCTTCGCTTGAGTTTCATAAGTGTTTCGGGGGAAATGCTAGAGGGAATCTTGGCCGGCTGCCCCTTACTCCAAGAGCTAAGCGTTTCAAGGTCACGAGTACTAGCTGGTTTTCGCGTTTTGCACCACGAGGCCTTGAAGCATTTGGAGATTCGTGACTGCATCGGTTCTGCTGAAAAGGTATTAATTACCGTGGTATCGGCCCCCAATTTGGTGTATTTCAAATTCGGTGGTAATGGGCGATTTGCTCACATATCGTTGGTCAATGTGCCGTGCCTGACCCAAGTTTTCTTGGGACCGAGCTATGCAACTCATGTATTAGATGAAGAAAGCTCCCCAGATATGGAATTTGACCTCCTTCATCAAGTCCTTCATGACTCCATTGCGCGCCGCTTGAAAGAATTGACATTGGACTTCTCCGATAATATATGGTGGGGCTCTTGTTTCCGCAAACAAGAGCGACTCGAAATGTTACTTGACAACCTTACGCACTTGAACCTGATTGTGCCTGTGTGCTCCGCCTTCAGTTTTCGTCTGTATGATATATCAGAGTTGAAGAAAACGGCCTCACCTGCATTTCATAATTTTGTACCTAAGTTGGGGTGGATGGGGCGTCGCCATAGAAAGATTTTGTTTACGAATAGAGATGTTGGCATGCGTGAAGAGGTTGCTAAAAAGTGGACCTTCAATAACAAGAATGGTGGTCTATTCACAATCACATGGCGTGGTGATCAGGGCCGGCATGGAAATGCGAACAAATAAAATTGGTATTCTCATTTATTTCTTTTTTAGAGTACTGCTTTTAAATTAGTATTGAATTTAATTTTTAATAACTATTTTTTATAACAATTTAAATATTAAGATATAAATTTATATTAAATCTAAAAAATATCGTGTAATTAGAATGATGACTATTTAACAGAACATGCTACATGTACTCTAAAATTTGTACTACATTTGTACACCGAAAGTATGCACCAACATTTTGATTGTTCACAGTAACACAAAGTGTTGGTGTGTTAACAAAAATTTACATTCAAACAAAGTGTTGGTGCGTTGACAAAAATTAGTATTACACCAACACAAAATGTTTGTGCATCCATGCGGTGTACAAAATAGGACACAAATTCTTGGATACAAGTAGCATTATCCATATTTAACTATACGGGTCTTAAAAGTTTGGAGGTCGTGTGGAGTGGTCAACTTGCACACAACTACTCTTGGTGGTGATTCAACATAGACAACTAGGGTAAATTTCACCTATGGTATACGAACTTCCATCATTATTTTAATTCAGTATATAAACTTTAATTCCTATCACAAAAGTACACAAACTCAATATTTTTTCTCAGGTGGTCTAATAGGCGGTTTCTAGGTCATTTGGGGTCAAATTATAATTTTATAAATTTAAATTTTTCATTTTGAACCCAATCTTCCCTCCTTTTTCTCTCTTCCTCTTTCCCAGCCAGCCCCCACCCCCACGCACCCATTCTTTCTTCTTCTTCTTCTTTCTCCCCCACGCACCATTCTTTTTTCCTTTTTAATTCCTCTTGGTTTTATACCATTTTCTTCATCTTCTTCAACACCCCCACCCTCCCCCCTCCCCTCCCCCATTTTTTTCTTCTCTTCCTCTTCCAGCCCCACCCCCACCCCACCCCCACTATTTTTTCTTTCG